TGAACATTTTATGGGGAGAAGCAGGAAAGAGGATGGAAGAGCACACAATGTGGTAAAATGTAAACAAATGGTGAGTTGTGGTGAAAGGTGTGTATTGTACCACTTTCAGATTTTCTAAACGTTTGAAATATTTCAAAATGAAATAAAATTTGGAAAAAAAATTATGTGAAGACCCCTATAAACCAAAAAGGGACACTGCCCTTGCCCATCAGGCAGTCCCAATGTTATGAAGGACACAGTGGAGGGGCACGCACCAGGGGGACCTCAGTGCATGTGCGGCAAGAACCGAGAGGACAGTGCAGGCTCCGCTTGGGCACCTCAGGGTTTGCTTGGGAAGTGACACCCAACTGGACAGAGTTTTGCAGGGCGTGTAGAGTCAGCCGCAGGGGTGAAGGGGCACTTGGAGAACCACCTCAGGTCGTCTGGTTGGAGTGCCAGGCAGTTGTGCAGTTGGTGGGAGAGGAGCCTGGGGCAGGCCGGGAGCACATCGTCATGGAGGGTGCTGCATCGAGGGCGCTGGCTTTCAGATGAAGCCCAGGAGGAGCCAAGGCGCGCTGCCAGCGAGGTGTAACCTGGGCAAATCTTCTCTGGGGAGCGAGGAGTGTGGAGGAGCCTGGGAGACTGGTGTGACAAGCGGATGAGAAATGAGGGGCACTGGAGGAGCGGAGGGTGTGTGAGGGCTGCACAGAGGCTAAACTGAAAGTGCTGGGCTGCTGAAGAGGTAGAGGCAGTGGAGGAGGGAGGCCAACGTGGCAGCCCTGCCCTGTGGGGGAGGCAGGAGGAGGCTACCAACACAGGGTGGGGCAGGGGAGGGGGGCTGTGCTCAGTCTGGGCCTGCTGAGCTTGAAGGGCCCGGTGGAAGGCTTCATGGAGTGACCTAGAGCCCAGGAAACGGACCTGGTGACTCCTGCACATTGCAGTGTTAAGTGAGTCATGGATTCTGAGGAGACTGCCTAGTGAGAGTTTGGAGAGAAGGAGGACATAGTGGAGAACAAGTGGAAGGCCAACCATAGAACCCTGAGAGGCAGCGTACAGGGAGAAGGCCCCACAAGAGAGACGTAGGAGAAGTGGAATGACAGGTGGGAGGAAAGCCCAGAGTCTGGGGTCAGGGAAGTCCAAGAGGAGGGTGTTTGTGAGGAGGAAGTGGGTGGCAATGTCAGGCAACACACGGGGCCAAGGGCAGTGAGACTGACATGTCCTTTTCCATTTTGCGATTGGAAAGTCTCAGCATATTCAATAAGGCTGAGGCTGATGGCCAAAGACTGGGCATTGAATTAAAGGTGAGGAAGCACAGAGCCAATCAAGCAGAATATTCTTTCTAGAGACTTGGCTGAAAAAAGTGGAGAAATAGGGCAATTTATTTTTATAAGAGGAGAGAAACTTAGGCCTGTGGATATGCTGAGAAGGAGCAGCAGAGAGTTTAGCTGAAGATAACAAGAGAGCAGAGATCTCTGACCAACTCCTGAAGACTTGGGACCCAGAACACAGGTGGAAAGAACCCCATTTTCACTTGGTGCAGTGGGGGCAAGGGGAGAGGAAGGCGTAAACCTCCTTGGGGCCTCATGAGGGACAGGAGAGAGGAGTACAGAGACCAGGCAGGATCAGGACTGTGGAGATTGTGACTGGGGTGGACAGGAGAAAGGATGGGCTAGCCAAAAGGAGGTAAAAACAGGGTCACAAACAAGAGAATTTAAAGCAAATGACCAGCAAAATGAAATATCAACTGATACACTTAGAACCATTCTGTCCCCATACAACCATTTTGTTTTTCACTTTCAGGACAGTATTCAGTAAATTACATGAGATACTCAAGACTTTATTATAATATAGGCCTTGTGCTAATGATTTTGCCCAACTGTAGGCTAATGTGAGCATTCTGAGCATGTTTAAAGTAGGTTAGATTAAGCTATGATGTTTGGTAGGTTAAGTGTATTAAATGTATTTTTGACTTATGATTTTTCATGATGGGTTTGTTGGGTTGTAAATCCATTGTAAGTCAAGGAATATCTTTATAAATGCCATTCCTTTTTATTGCTGAGTAGTATTCCATGGTATGGATGTACTACCGTGTGTTTAACCAATCAACCAATCACCCACTGAGGGATATTTTGGTTGTTCTCAGTTATGGGGTATAACAAGTAAAGCTGCTAAAAACAATTGCATACAGGTTATTATGTAGATACAAGTTTTCATGTCTCTGGGATAAATGCTCAGGAATGTAATTGCTGGCTTATATAGTAACTATATGTTTAGTTTGTAAAGACACTATCAAACTATTTTCCACATTACCTATAGCATTTTATATTCCCACCAACAATGAATGAGAGATCAGGTTTTTCCATATCTTTGCCAACATTTGGCATTATTGCTATTTTTTATTTTAGTCATTCTAACATGTATATAATGATACCTCGGTGCAGTCTTAATTTGCATTTTCATAGTGGCTAGTGATGTTGAACACCTTTTCATGTACAAATTTACCATCATATTTCCTCTTCATTTGAATGTCTCTTCATGTCTTTTGTCCGTTTTCCAGTTGGATCATTGGTTTTTTTTTTTCAAGGTTTCAAAATTTCAAAAATTTTTTTTAGAATTTTGAGAGTTCTTTCAGTAGAGTTTTTAGTTCTTAAATGTTATTCTTCCATATATAGAATCTATTATAATTCAGTTCTAACTAGTAGGATGTTGATTCTAAACTCATCTTTGCTTCAACATGGATGCAAGGATCCAGTTCCTTTTTATTCAGCAGGGACCTTTCCCCCACTCACTATACTACATTTGAAAATAATCTGCTGCTCCTCTGCTCTTCCCTGGCCATACCCTAAGCCTTACTTTTGTGCTGCTTCCAGAGCAGCCTAGATGTTAGGCTCAGATTTCCTCCTGGCCTCATTGTTTGCTTAATGAGCTGAAGCCAAACGTGGGGATTTGTATTTCTTCCTGGATCCACATGGCCTTGGATGCAATAAACAAACAAACAGACAAACAAATAAATGCTAATAGGTTCCTGTGCAGTACAATTCTGTACAACAGCCAGCTTGGGATTCATTTGCTATCCTAAAAGGCCAAGAGTAAATGGGAGAGGGCAGAAACTCAAAAATCTGACATCCCAAAGACAGAGGCCCCTTTTGAATATCATCAGTTTGCAGCCACAGGAAGGAAATAAAAGAATGTGGGAGAGAAGGCCTCTGGGAGGAAGTCTTGGGTACACCATACACCACACAGGACAATGGCCTTTTCTGACACACTCAGAGTCTCTGGCAGGTTATTTTTAACTGCCACATTGTAAAGTCAATGTTTGCGTTTTGATAAGTGTCCTGTCCAGTGACTTGTTCTAAACGCTGGCTTGGGAGATGACTTTAAAAGCCTAGGAGTGATAAGTGAGAAAGTGAGTGAGTGAAATATAATAATCCTGTAGCTGCCAGCCCTGATACCCATGGCAGATCAAACAATCAGAGTGCATTTTGTTCCATTGCTTGCATCACCTGGTCATGAGTTGTCAGTGGAATTTGTGGAATGGATTGTTCTCTTGGAGTCACCTAATATCCTTGAACAATGGGGCACACATTCTTGGTTTTATGTAAGAGCTCATAAGGAACGTTCCATCCGACCAATCAGAAGCAGAGAGCTGTCGCTGATGCCTGCCTCCCTGCCTGCCTTCTCTCTCTTCTTGTCCTCCCCCACCTTGTCCTTCCCTCCTGTCCTTAAGGAAAAAAAGAAGGAGAAAGGTAAAGGAAGATAGGCCTGTGGTGCAGAGGTCACTAGGGGAATGACACCACCGGTTGGAGGGAAGATGAATATGAAATATGTGAAATAAAGAGTACCTTGGGTTTTTTCCCTCGATAGAATTAGTTTTTACTTCTTATTGTTGTTTCTCATTGAATACTCTTCTAGAAAAAAAGGCATTGCAGGATGAGGTAACTTTTATGAGGCTACCTTACTTGTAGGTTGTGATTTAGGAGCTGAAAAAGTCCCATTCTCCTACTGCAATATTTCAGGGTTTTTTTGGTTGCATGTAACACAAAGCCCAATGAAAACTGCGTTGAATAATAAAAGAGGCTGACTCAGCACTGGGAAATTCATAAGCAATGGTCTCAGGTTTGCTTTGCTTTAGTGACGTGCCAGATGTTTTTCCTTTATTTCTATGGTATCAATTCCTCTGTAAGGCTGGCTCCATGTTTCAGTGTTCCTCTCCAGAGAGAGAGGGACTGTCGTTAGTGCCGGCTGATCTCTGTGACTCACCCCGCTGGCCATTGTTGCCTGTTGGGCTAAGACTTGGCTTTCTGAACCGGTCCGGCAGCAGCCGCAGAGCTGGGCTCACCCGGGAGACGTCGTCACCAGGGCTGCGTCACAGTGTGGGAAGGGTGGAGGGGGTTCTGGCAAGATAACCACACCACTGCTACATATCCTAAACACTTCTAATTCCTGCACTGAGGATTAAAACCCCTTTAAAAGGGTATCAAGCTAAGGCATCATTCTGAAGTTTGAGATAACATTGAAATAGTAACAGTGGTTTTATACTAAAATGTGTTGAGGGAATACGTTTTTACTATTGCAAATGTCAAGTGAGTGAAAAAAATATATATTTTTCTCTATACTTCAATTAACTCATGAACTCCAATGTCAACTTGGTAATAGAAAACTAAATCTTTCCAATTCAATATAAATGCAATTACATGTGGTTTAAAACCCAGGTTTTTTGTTTGTTGTTTTTGAAAAGCACTGGTTAGCATTTAATGAACATCTCTGGATGTGGTTTTAAGCCACCTGAACATAGCCCTCTCCTAGCCATACATACCCTTAATCTTCTCTTCAGCTCATCTGCTAAAGAACTGGGCCTTCATTATGACAGTCTGCTTTGGGAGCTTCTCCTTCTCCAGAACTTTGTAGTAGCCCTAGAAGGACAGAGAAAGGGGTTTATAACACACTGTGGCCGGTACCAACTCCCTGATGGGTATAAGGAAAGACAACTGCCAACCCACTCTATTTAGGGGCATATTTCTGATTGTTTCTGATCTGGACACCACTGGGAGCACCTATGGTCTTTGCTAGTGGATCAAAACCAGCACATTCTCTCCAAGGGCTCTAGCACACCAGGACAAGAGCTGTGTCAGGACATGATTCTAGTCTCAGGAAACCCAGTCCTTCATGAGTAAATTCTTAGCCAATTCAAGATTCTTCTCATCCTCCTGCTCTTTTTTCTTTTTTTTTTTAAACCTTCTCCCTAAAAATGAGCTTGGTTCCTGGCATTGTTGTGTGTGAAGTTGATATTCAAGGAGTGGGCAGCTGTGAAGTTCCTCATGAGGAGGCCTCTTTTGAGCTAGCTTTGGCTTTTGGCATCTGTCCTTACTGCCGTCCACTGCTGGTGTGCAGAGTCTGCCCCCGCCCTTTGGCTTCCAGGTCCGTGTACCTAGGGGTGTCCCTAGTCCACTGGCTTTCTCTCAGACAAACTGTTGCCTAGTCTCATGGGGCAACGGTGTGGAGGAAGCCAGAGGGAATGTCGGCTGCCCTTGCGGGCTGCTCCGATGCGGCGGGAAATGTGGAGGTGGAGGTGGTGGGTCTTTCCCAGAGGTCTCTCTGGCTCAACTCACCTTTTAGCTACTGCTACGCTACCGTAGAGCCCGCATTAGCCTCGGACTCTGTGAAAATATTTCCTTACAAGCCCCTTGTGGGGGAGAGCAAGAACAAATCCTCCTACTGCCAGATTCTCACACTCCCAGGGGCTGTTACCACTCCTACCCCAGGGTTTGGACCTTCAGTCACCCTGAGAAATTACTTGACTTTCTTGCTGTCTTGCTTTTCTTCCAGTCCAGCAAAGATTTTTAAAAATCACCGCTCTATCTAGTTTGGGGGGGGCAGGAGAGGTTTACATGATTTTCATTCTTTGACTCTCTTGGTTATGGCATAAACCCTACTGCTTAATCATTTTGCTCTAGGTCTAGACATAGACTGCAGTCATGTGATTTGGAACTATTTTCACAGTTTTACTAACACAACTTTCTCACAAGTAGAATGGTATGGTATATGCAAGCTTTATTTCTGATTGGTTTTGTTCCTGGACACATTTGGCACAATATCGCCTTTGCTGGGGCTCCTGGCCCAATTCTCTTGAACTGGGTGATAATTTATAGAGATCTGATATTCATTTTTCTCTTCAAAGATTCTCATTTTTAACATTGAAAAAACATGGTCTTGTGTGAAAAAGTTATTGCATGTGGCAAATGGTGAGGCATTTAGGAATAACTATTTCTGCTGTTGCAGTAATGGGCTAGTTTATAAGGCACAGATTAACAAAATGTTGCATGAACACTGGGTAAACTCTGGGTGGATACTTTTAGTGTGTAGTGTTGCAACTTCATGTCCATGTCCCTCGTTCTGTGGGGAATCTGCTGCATGATGAGGCACCTACAAGTTCTAGGCTCCTAGAACCAGGCTTGGATCAGCTGCCATGAAGGCAGCAGAAAACCACAGCTTAACTTTACACCTGTAGGGCTTGTTAACAGACACACACCTCCTGGTTCCTTCAAAACTTAACTGAGAGTAAATACCACTGATTTCAGTGGGGAGAGTTTCCTTAGGATTAAAACTTGTGTATAGTGTTAATTTTAGTTTATTTAGTTGCTTTCCTGCTTTTCTCAGTAGACATTGAACCTGACATTCTGAGTATGCAATAAATACCCACAAGAAGAAAAACAGAAGTTGAGGGAAGAAAATCCAGGGAAAGGTTTTGTCTCTAGGTAAAGGGACAGAGCACTTGAGATCTTTAATGCTCACACCCATACAAGCTTCTAATTGAATATGGAGCAGAAAAGACCAGATTAGCAAGTAACACTCAGATGAGAAGCCCGGCTTCTCCTAGACTCAGATGTATGAAAAGGGAAAATTACCAAGGAATATCTTTGCTTTTTCAGATTGCCCTGGGGTACATTAAGTAAGCCTGAAACAGAGACCCTCGATCTTCCCTATGTAATGGCTGTGCCGCTCGTTTGGCTTTGTGATTTCAATCTCCAATGCCCTCCTACTCAGGGTGTACGTATAATAAGTCTTTTTACAGTGTAGTCAATGAGATGACAAGATTTCTATTAAAACATTAGTCAATGGTGACCCTACAAGCCCTGAACATTGAAAATACAATCCAAACGATCAACCCATAAAGTGAGGGTTTGGCCTATGTCCTAAAACCAGCACCACAGAGGAGACCTGGCCATATTCACTCTTCAAATAAAGCCAAGTATACGTCTTCCCTTGGAGATGTTTGTGAGAATTTTACACCACCACACAAATAATTTGATGGTATGCCACAGCATTAAATAGTGATTAAGAGCATGGTTTTTATAGTTACAGGGTTGGGTTTAAATCTGAGTCAGGCCACTTTCTTAACACCAGCAAGATACTTAACTTTTTCCAGACCTGAGCTTTCCTGCCAGTGCACTGTGAATGGTGCACACACGTGCCAAGGGATTGGTCCTCTCAGCCCTCAGGGAGTGCTACAATGGGAAAAAAATTGGAAACTTTCCCATAATCTGAGCTTCTACATCTATCAATCATAATTCTGTTTTCTTCATGAGGTTGGTTTAAAGATGAAATGCAGATCTCCCAAAGTGTTTGGTACAGCACTTAGTAAGCAAATGACAAGCAGTCCTGGGTCACCAATCCAATTTAGCCATGTTAGGAAAATGTCTGAAAGATAATTACCTCCTGCTCCTTCACACAAGAAACTCCTGAAAAGCATGATCAAGGCCATCAAACACATAATCCCCTTCCCAGAAGGTCAGTGAGGATGGCCCTTGGAACCAGTGCCAACTTGTGCTTGAAGGCTTCCTTCTTTACAATAAATAGCTGGAAAGTATAAATATTTCTGTCCCCTGTTCCCCTGGGAATAAAATAATTTCCTCAAATTTGAGAGCCTGCTGCAGTTCATTTCTAATATGCAGGAACAATCAGGGCCAGGATTTATTTTCTTCACATCAGGTCTTGATGAGCTACTGTTTCATTTTCCTTATGGACACCTTATAATAATGTACCTCCAGGACATATGTACTAGGGTCTTACTGTGCTTGCTGTAGCAGAGCTAAATATATGCTAGGGCCAGAGAGGAGGCCAAGTTATCTATAAAAGGCGGAAGTACAGTTAAATTGGAATGGACACTGAAAAAAACCTAAGGGAGGCTTAGTGATTTCCCATAGAAACCCAATGGCAGATGTTAATGGAGTCAGAAACTCTGGGTCTCATCACTTTGAAGCCTTTTTCTAGGCTGTTCCTGTGTGTCTTAAAGGGGCCAGCTGCTCCAATAGCTCAGCAGGTAGGTGACTGTGGGCAGATGATAGAGAGTCTCTGGGCATCCCCCTAGAGAACACTATTGTGGAAAAGCCAAGAAGGAGTTCACAACCAGTGCAGAATGTTTAAAAGCAACACCCCTGCCAAAGTATGTATTTAAAAAACAAAGTGATTAGCATGTAAAACCACCAATCTCTCTTATTGACCCAGTCAGCTGTTTGGCTGTGAAAAATAATAACCAAATGTTATATACACTTAATTTCTTTTAAGGGGTAGGCACACAATCTTGGAATCTGTCAACTAAATGAGTGTATCAAGGGAGTCTTACTTCAGCCAAATTTTATTTTTGCAGCTGCAGAACACACTCCTATGTCTGGAATCATTAGTGTTTTAGGGCACAGATGGGAACCGAGAGACTGGGTTTAGAATTCGTGCTCTGCAGTTATTTAGCTCTATATCCTTGGGTAGTACAAAGAAAACCTTGCACCATTCTCCAGCTATAAAATTACTATTTATTTCAAGTGTCCATGAAGTGAAATTCAGAGGCCTACAAGTCCAGTAAAGGAGATTATGTATAGCAATGCCCCACTCAGTGTGTGATTTACAATAGGTGCTCCATAAGGTGGCCTTCTGGGGGTGTAGAGCTCAGAGACCCAGGATTTAAGAGCTGGCTGGAGTCCTAGGAGTTATTTTATCTCTTTCATATGTCTTCATTTGTCTCTCTCTGACCTACTGTGCACTGATTCTGCAGATTAAATGCTCATAAAACAGTCTTATTTCCTGCATTAACAAACTGTTGGGGTGGGAGTGGCCCTCAGTGGAACCCCCAAGTTCAAATATATATATGCTTACTGTGGTCACAGCGCCTACCATGTGGCAGATGAATTGCCTCCTTAGTTATGTTTCCCCTTGGTGAACATTTCCTTGATGTATAAGGGCTTCTCACTTTCTGAGCTGTGTATCTCCTGGACCTAGCACAATGTCTGATGCAAAAGAGATAGATTCTCACTTACTACACTGATGGACAGTGACTGTAATGGGGTATGTGATGGGGACTTGATAATGGGGGGAATCTAGTAATCACAATGTTGCTCATGTAATTGTATATTAATGATACCAAAATAAAAATAAAAATAAAAAAAGAGATAGATGCTCAGTAAGTGTTTATTTTGTCACTGAAACAGAAAAATGCAGCCTATTCCAGTTGATAGCAAGTTAGCAGAAGGGTGAAAGCCTCCTGGAACCCAGACAATGGGGCACCAAAGGGCAAACACTTGTTAAATGGCCCTGCAGGGTCAGTCAGCATCATGAGCCGCAGTTTCTCATGAGGGTCACAAGAGAAGTGCGACCTCTCTGGGGTGCTGCGCCCATTGTCCTGGGTCGTTGTACCCTTAAAGCCAGTCCTGGCCCCTCCCCAAGGAAGCTGACCCCTGCCGGCTACACTCCTCAGCCTCCCTGTCAGCTGGCTGCTGGTGGGATGTGGTCAAGAGGAGAAGGATGACTGGAGGGTGGGAAGAAGGCAGAGCCAGAGTATTTCTCCTGATCTCAGTGTCTAAGGCAGGGGTTTTGTCTTCCCCGTAACGCTAGATCCCACCGGCTAGGCAGACCTCCAGCCTGAGGGTGGAGGCAGGCAGGATATGGCTTCCTACTGTGGTGTGGGAGCTTATCCATTATCTACAGAACCAATTCCCTCTGTTTTAAATAGAGTAATTTCTGTTTTTCTGGATTGACTCTGACACATGTCCCATTCTAGCTTCCCAAAACTGGCAAGAAATTAATCCAGCAGTATGAATTGAGCATTGATGTCACAAACTGTACTAGGCACTGAGGACACAAAAATGGATCAGGTGTTTGCCC